GATGCAAGCGAGCGAGTACTCGGATGGCCAGGGTTGTCGTGGTGCGGGAGGTGGGACCAGCTCATAGTGGTCGCCACCTTTCTTCCGAGCAGGCTTAGCCACCTGCGGCTTCGGCCGCCACTCCTCCTTGATCTTTTTATTTGGCGGTGAGGTTGGAGGAAGTGGCGGCGAAGGAGTGAGAGGGGGATCCTGCAAAACGAGAGGCACAGAAGGATGCACGACAGGCTCGTGTACCTGGTCAGAAGTAGCATGCATAGGTGTGACAGCAACCACATCACAGTGATCCAATTCAGACACAGAAAAAGTAGCATTTTCATTCCCAGCACGCAAGATCAGTTTACCACTATGCACATCAATAAGTGCCCTAGCGGTGACGAGAAATGGTCTACCCAAAATCAAAGGCACATCTACATCCTCATTTATATCCAGAATAACAAAATCAACAGGATATGTGAATATGCCTACTTTAACAAGAAGATCCTCGATGATACCCCTAGGATGCACAATGTAACGATCAGCTAGCTGAATGCTCATCCTAGTAGGGCTAAGTTCACCTAAGTCTAGCTTTTTAAACAACTTATATGGCATGACATTTATGCTAGAGCCTAGGTCCTCCAAGGACTTGCCTACATGCATGCTGCCAATAGTAAGAGGGATAGTAAAACTCCCTGCGTCCTTGCGCTTTTCGGGCAGCTTGTTGTGCAGGATAACAGAACACTCCTCGCTCAGCAGCACTGTCGAAAGATCCCCAAGTTTCTTCTTGTTTGTGAGGATGTCTTTCATGAACTTGGCGTACTTGGGCATCTTCGACAGTGCCTCCACGAACGCCATGCTGATGTTGACCTGCTTCAACATTGCCATGAATTTGGCAAACTCAGTCTCCAGCCTGTCTTTGTGTAGGCGAGTGGGGAAGGGAAGCTGGGGTACATGCTCTTTAACCACTGGTTGTGGCTTGGGAGCAGGGGATTCCTTCTCCACCCGCACTTTTGCATCGTCGGCTGGAAGTGTTGAAGCAGGTAGTGGTGCCTCCTGCCTGGGGTGGGCAGGAGCAGAGATGTGGTCTTACCACTCCTGGTAAAAATGGAATCCAGCTGCTGGTGAGACTCGCGAGGATTAGGGATGGTGGTGGCAGGTAGAGTTCCCGGTGCCATGGTGTTGTTCTGGCGGGCTATTCCTCCAATCTGATGCTGGAAGTCCTGCAATATGGCACTTTGGTTCCTCTGACCCGCCTCCAGCGAGGCGATGCTTTGGTCTATTCTGGTAAAATTCTCCTGGCTGGTAGTCATGAATGCCACCAAAATGTTTTTCAGCTTCGTCATCTGATTATCTGGAGCTGGAGCTGCTGCTGGCTCGACATAATGGCGTTGCGGCTGCTGGAACAGCTGCCCCTGCCTGGGCTGGTAAGGATGCTGCTGTGGAGCTATCCCTTGTCTGGCCTGGAAATGCTGCCTCTGCTGAAAACCACCTGCTGGTGCTGGGAAACCAGGTGGTTTAGTGGTGTTGCTGTTCCAAGCAAAGTTGGGATGCTGGCGCCATCCCTCATTATATGTATTGCTGTATGGATCAAGGCGCCGCGCATTGGCGATGAAGTCCAACTGCTCTTGGGGAGTAGAAGACTCCCGCATGGCTTGGCAGTCTTCCACCAGATGGTTGGAGCTCTCACACCACTGACATTGAGCTACTGGAGGTACAGCCAAACCTATGCCCGGAATAAGACTGTTGGGCTACTTCAATGTCTGCACCAACTCGGCCACCTCCCGCTCTAGCCCGGACCTGGCCTCCATGGCGTGCACACCAAGATCTCGGGAATTCCTGCCTCTGGTGCTCTGCCCCCAGGAATGATCTCTGGCAGCCAAGGTACTGATCATTTGGTTTAGTTCGGGTGGAGTCTTAGTAAGAATATCCCCTCCTGGGCATAGAGACTCAATCACCCTCTGGCTTTCCGGAGAGAGAGCACTGTAGAAGTTCCCCACGGTGAATGCATCACTGAAGCCATGATGGAGACACTGCCAGAAAAATCCCATGTACCGCTCCCATGCATCACGAAGTGACTCATCTGGCTCCTGGCGGAAGTGAGTGATCTCTCGCTGAATTTCTGTAGTCTTCGATGCTGGATAGTACCTGTGCACGAACTTGTTGGCCAGATCGTCCCAAGAAGTGATGGACAATGGGGCTGGGTCTCCAACCACCTCTTAGCATGCCCCGCCAGAGAATGGGGGAAGAGGTGAAGGCGGATTGCATCATCCGGGACACCGTTCATCTTGAACCCGTTCATCAGCTGCAGAAAACAGGAAAGATGCACCCTTGCCTCCTCATCCTTCAAACCATGAAACTGGATAGAGGATGTAATGAGTTGAATCTAGCATGGCTTGATGTCGAAGTTATTCGCTGGAATGGGAGGATAGAGGATGACAGGGCGGATATCGGCGACCTGTGGAGTGTAGTAGTACTCCAAGGTGGGACCCGGCGGCGGTGGTGGATGCTGAACCCCATCTGCCTGGGGTATGGGGTTGTTCCCCAAGATCCGATTCACCGGGGGAACCTGGAGAGGTATCCCCTGGGGTGGGTTGTGTTCACCTTCCATCTCGAACTCCTCCTCAGAATCGCTGCTCAAGTGGTCGTCTATGCGCTCCTCCGTAGCCAGTCTAGCTCGTTGTTGTCTCCTAAGTTGGCGACATGTGCGTTCAAGCTCCGGATCCAACGGCAGTAAACCTCCTGACTAGCTACGGGTCATGCACTATCTGCATACAGTCAAGCAAGCAAACCCGTGAAGGCACAAGTGGGAAAGAACGAACAGTCAATGCGAAAATGAAAATGCTAAAGTAACAGAAATCACGTTTCTTCAACAACCTAGTCGTCCCCGGCAACGGTGCCAAAAACTTGACTCGCTCCTACCGTCACTCTAGAAAATGGCCAAGTGCAACCACCTCCTAAAGCGTAGTATAGCGGAATTGAGTTTTAATGTCAACCCGGGTCCTAAGTGTGATGACTACTCCGTGAGTTCTTATTATTTAGCGGTGAAACTTTAGTGAAGGTCCAAACAAGCAAAGCAGATAAAAAGGTTGTTTTCAAGTCGAGAGAGGTCACCCGGATATGGTTCCCCCTAGACTGCAGTTAAGCCGAGTTGTAATTTACCAAGTTCAATTTCAATGATAGTTATACTGCGGGAGGTTCTTAAACAGTCTGAAGTCTCGACTAAAGGTCTCCAGACCTCTCAATCTGAGTCTCCAGCGGGCGACTAACCTCCATCGGAGTAAACAGATCGAGGCCCTAACGAACCAAACCTCCACTACCGAAATAAATCCGGTACAGAATAGTGAATTGACTCCTCGAGTAAAGTCGTCAATTCACTACCTTCAATCAAAGATGCTCTATCAACCTAGGCAGATATTCTCATTCTAGGTCAAAGCAGAAATAACATGAATTTGATCAGGATTCATGCCATTCAACAATTCAAACCTCAATTGAATATAATCAAATCGTAGAATTTGTACTTGGGTTCATACAATCAGACATAACATACAAATCTAGGGTTCTTCATACACAGGTGAATAGGAAAGTTACTCCATAGAGAGAGATGGGAAATCTAGCTCAGATGCGGAAACCATATTGTGAAGGATGATAATCTGCTTCGGGCACTCAATCGGATCTTCTCCAAGCTCAAGCCGGGCTCCAATCGGATCTGCTTAGGCGTGCCCGTGTGGCTTCCTCAGATTCTCGCCAAACGTCCAATCTTCGTCCAATCGACCTCGAACTCGTTCCCAAGCCTTCATCCACGTGCTAGGACTTGAAATATCACAAACAAGAACAACCTAGCGTGAAATCGACCTAAAACGCGGGAATCGACATCTCAAACGGCTCAAGAATAGGGGTAAAAACATGTGCAATCGATGGTCTATCACCCGCCTTCTGTCTGAGCAGGGCTGTCGGGGTTTTCTTCTCTTCCTTTTCCTTTGGCTGCCCATTTTCCTGAGCTCTCTGGCGCTTCGCCTCCCTTTTCTTTGAGCATGGCCAAGATTTGGCTCAAACTCTCTTGCATGCTTGATATTTGCTCCCCTTGACTTTTGACGCGGTCTTCCATTTCCATTTCTTCCTCTACTGTTGGCATTTCCATTCCACGGATGTCGCACATCTGCGCTTCTTGGCCGCTGAAGTTACTCCTTTCTACTACGCCTTTGACGGGGGTGTTGGAGCTCCCATCCATCCTTTCTTCAGTGCTATGCTCGCCCCACGGTGGGCACCAAATGGTTTGTGCCTGGAATGTTCCAGGCGGTTTGTGAAGAGCGAGCAAGGCGTCTGTTCCAGATGGTGGGCGTACTCCAAGCTCCTGCAAAACAAGTGTCCGTGGGCGGTCACCCAGGACACCCTCTGATGCTAAAGTTAGAGATAGAATAAGAGTTTTTGTTTATATTTAGAGAGAGAGAGAGAGAGAGAGAGAGAGAGAGAGTAGTTGAGTTACCATTAATGCAGGTACCAGTGTATTTATAGTTGGCCAGCTTGAGTATAAGGCATTAAATGCCATGTCAGGCGGCCTAGGTGCGCTTTGCTTTATCCGGACAGCCTGCGGCGGGCATTTAATGTTTAGTCCTGCAGTATCTGAGGTAAGTATCCTAAGAAGATCTCCTCTTCCTGACACCAACGGTCCCTTGTGTCGGGCGGCCTATTTCTGTCCCGTCAAAGGGTGGCCGCCTGCCTTTCTCCTTTCCCTACGTCGCTTCTTGGGCCTCTCGCTGTGGCTCAGGCCCTTCTTTAGGTCCCGCCCGATTATCTTCCTATGGGCCTTAAGTCCAACACTGCTCAACTATGGGCCCAACAAGTGAACAATTACCTCATTTTTGTGGCTCAATTTTAATGAGTCAGATTAGTGTAAGCATTCTGCAAGTAAAGAAAACTCAATAAAGGACTTGATTGTTAGGATATAAATAGTTCAACGATGTGTTGTGGAAAAGCCCCAAGTTAAGGGACAGATTTGTTAGATGTATCAAGTAGAGGCGTTACATTGGTAATAAGCCTTTTCTTTGTTCGCCGTTCACTACTATTCCGGGCTCTGCCGGGGTTTGAACTTTGATCTTCTCATTCCTCGCTCGCGTTCCCGCTTTCTTGGTCGCCGACTCGCCGTCGCACCTCTTGTCGGTCTCCTCAATCGCCATTGTTTGCACTGTTCTCCGGTTGGCGAAACGAAGCAATTTCGTCTTCTGTAGGTATTTCATTGCCGGGAAGTCGAGGGCTTCCTCGCATCCTGATCTGCTGTCTTTCACTTTCTTCTACTAAAGCCACCAAACGATCACCTCCGCTAGAAGTACGTTTTCCCTCTCTCTGGTCTCTCTTCCTTAGATTCCAAAACTGGAGAGTAAAAGGAAATGCGAGCTTCCTGAATCCGAAAGCTAACAGTGGTATCATTAGCAGTAGATTTGATTCAGGTAGACGATAGATCTCCCTGATTGTGTTCCGAGATTCCCCGCCTTTGAATTGTTCGAACTCTCTCTCCTAGAACTAGAAATTAAGTAATTAACTATCTGAAAGTTTGAGTTCATTCATTTTGGTTGGTTGAACTTTGAAGGGATATGGCGACCACTGCGTCATTTATCATCGTGAGCCGGAATGACATCCCGATATATGAAGCTGAAGTTGGATCTGCTACTAAAGTAAATTGATCTCTGCTCCCATCTTTTGCTATTGTTCATTTGCTTGCAATCCATATAGCCATTTTCGTTTTGAATTCTTCATGAACATACATGAAATTGGAACCTTTGGATTGGGCATGTCTATCTTCTGGATAGATTAGCTTTCGGATGGAACTTTGTGCAATTCAGCATTCCATTTTTCTTGAATGTATGAAAACCCAGTAGACGAAAAGCTGATGAGAAGTTACTTTGATGGTGGTTCTTCGATGCCCTGGATTTGACATTTCGTGTTTCGCTTTTGGATCATGACTACAGAGAGAGGATGCAGCTCAGTTGCATCAATTTGTACTACATGCAGCGTTAGATATTGTTCAGGACCTCGCTTGGACCACTAGTGCCATGTATTTTCCTATCTTCTCAACCCCTGTTCTCTTCATTCATCAATGCAGTTTTAATTTTATGTTCTAGTGTTATCGTTTATCAAATGATCCTTGACGGTTCATTTCCTTGCTTGTGTAACAGGTTCTTGAAAAACATTGACAGGTTCAACGACCTGGTGGTATCGGTGTATGTTACAGCTGGTCATATCCTTTTTATATATTGATTCCCTTTATCATCGCCGTTGCTAGTATCTTAAGTAGGTAGTTATTCGCAAGGATTAACTAGGCAAAGCAGGGATAACTTTGTCTGCACATAATATAACCCTGACTTAGTAGTTTCCTTGGTTGGTTAAAGTTTCATGCTAGCATGTACAGTATACCTCTTCATTTGTGGTGACTACCAGGATCTGCACATCAGAATTTCACACTTGTTAATGGTGACTACCGTAATCTGTGCATCAGCATTTTAGAGTCTCTAAACATGCATACCACTCGATCTGTAGTCCAAAGCACAATCTAATCTGTGCTGCTCGTGGATAGATAAGTCAGTAAGATGCATTACACTTAAAGCATTCAGTATCAGATATTTCCTTGACATTTTCAAACATACACGATTGATGCTACTTCATGACTCCCGCAATGATGATGGGATTAAGAGCTTTTTTCAGGAGGTGCATGAACTTTATATAAAGGTAAACTTGCTCTGACTTGGATGCTCTGTTCATGTGTTGTTTTTCAGTTGTCAACTGTGAAAAAACTAGCTGGGTCTGTTAGTTGAGATGAACTGAAACGTTGGACTTACGAAGATGGGGGAGGGTAAAATGTGTTATAGGTTCCGACAACATATGTTCACAAACATGTCATAGATTTCAAGAACCATATTTTGGCTGCTATTAGTTGCTCACCTAGATTCATCGGAGAATTTAAAAGCATGACCCTGAAGTAAAGATTATTACTCTATTTTGATAGCAATTTAGAAGCTATACCTATAATATGACGCAGTTTGTTAACTTTTGGCAACTCTCTGGTCCATTTGTCTTTTGCATAGTTCAAGAACTTGGAATCCACACACTCTAAACTCTACAGTTTTTGGAATTACAATCCTAGCAAAGAGAGTTCCAGCTCCTCAAGTAGTGGGCAAATACCAGTCCCATGCCAAAGTTCATATTAGCTCTTTTTGCAAAGCCATTTAAAATCTTAACATCTATCCAATGTTGTAAGACCTTTTGCTGGGTCTTGGTGTTCCAGCACCAACCATTTCTTCATCCGTGTTCCTTGGTTAACGTATGATGATCAATGCAGGTACTGCTGAACCCCCTCTACCTGCCCGGTGCCCGCATTGCTTCTTCACATTTCGACACAAAAGTCCGCGCTCTAGCTAGAAAGTACCTGTAATCGTGCAAACCATCTACTAAACGACGCAACGAGCGCTTACCAGACTCTCCAGGGTAAAACATGGTCTACATGTTACACAAACGCCTCGTTCAATTTAGCCAGGGAGTTCCTCCTTACTTCTCAACTAGTGTGTTCATAACGGATTGAAGGTTCCATTTGGTGAGAACCTGATGTAGGAAGACTTGATTTTGATGTACAACCCCCCGGTTTTATCCATGGTATCTTCATGTTTCTCCTCATGAACAACAATGCTGGTTATTGAATGTTCAGCATGTGATTGTACATTCTCTAATGGTGGTTTTCCCACCTCACCTGTGACTCTGTTTGATTGCATTTGTTTAATGGTGGTTTTGCTTCTGCCTTGGGTTGCTGAGTTTCTACATAGAGATCCATCCACCCTTTTTTTTGGCTGGGTTTAATTTTCCCACCGAAAAGGCCGGTCCGCTATCCACGTCTGGCTATTTCTCGACCAACCAACACCACCCTCCTTTGACTTATGATGGTGTCCGGCGGTGCAACATGCAAACCACCACTACTTCTTTCCCACTTCTTTATTTGTAGGTGTTGATGATGGTTTAGCTCATCTTCATGGTAGATTTCTATGGCGGTGAAGCAAGCAAATAGTAGTGTTGGGATATTGATCGAAACCGGACCGATAAGAATATCATTGGTATCGCTTTTTTTTATATGTTTAATATTATATATATTTCAAATTGTTTGTACATTATGGGTTTCGGTTTAAATCGATAAATCGAAAACAATAGACGAGAGGTGTAAGGGGATTCAGTTTTGATTGGGAGTGTAGCAAGCGCTTCAATAAATTGTGCATTCAATTGATTGCCTATCAACAAAAGCCTCTTCATGAGTGAGTTACCTAATCTGAAATGGAGATTCTATGTGTTAGGACTTGGGACTTCATGATATGTAATTATTATAATTTTAAGAATCCTTTTTTTGATGATGCATTAAGAACAAAATATTGAGATTTGTTTTTGTTGAAATTAAATTCTTTTTGGGACCGAATTTGTTCATCTCAATAGTTTAAATGTTTTAAACGCTTTTGAAGTATGAATTATTTATTCACAACCTAAATGAGATTGAAATTGGTCTACATCTTACTTTGTAAATTTGAAAAATATGTTTATTCGGCAACACTTTAGTTTTAGTCCTTTTCATTATTTATTTTGTTGAAAATTTGAAATAGGAATTTTAGTCCTAAAAAAATCAGAATAGGCCTTTATTCGATCGCACGTGACGTGACTCAACCCTTCTTCACTTCATCTTTTAAAAAGAAAGCTGGGAAAAGAGAAGAAATAATAGCTTTGGTGCTCTCAAAGCTCTAAAAATATATATTTTTGCTAGAAACTCACAATGGCTTTAATCAACAAGTGTAGATCGAGATAGCCATTTTTTTAGCTCAGAAACTTAAGAGAGGGTAATGCAATGTTTTCTTCCATCGGATAACTAAGTTCGTTTTAGATCGATCTAATATAAATTGATTAAATACGTTGTTTTAGATGTAATTGTTTAACGTATATAATATCTACTATGGTTTATTACTTGTTACTTTATGATAAGAATATATAGATATTGATTATATCAGTTAGGGGTGGCTATACGGTCCGGTCCGGTTAAATTGGCCCAAATTGATCCGGTCCAGTCTGGTCTTTTTGAATATGTAAGGACCAAAGATTGGATTGGATACAGTCCGGTCTTGATCCAGTCCGGTTTTGACCCGGTCCGGTTCCAATTCGGTCTTGATTTTATATTGAGCTTGTAGGGATTTGAGTGGCCTAAGACCTGAAAGGGTGAGGAGTTGGTTAAGTTTTGTACAAAGTGCAAAGGTTTGTGACCGTTTATGCAAATTACCCTTACGTTTTGGGTGTTGAGCTCTCTTACCCGCTCTTTATCTAGTTTTCGATTCGGTCCCGAATGATTTTTTTACCTCAAATCTAAGACCAAAGATTGAATTTGGTTGTTTACTATCCGGTCCCGATCCGGTTTCGGGTAAAACCAAAAAACCCGAACCAAATAGCCAGCCCTAATATCAGTTCCCAACAATTTTTTTTTTTTTACGTTTAGAGTAAACTTTGATCATATTTTTTATTATCTTGCAACTACTTAATAACTGAACGGTTACTGACAAATTCGATTAATCATTTAGTTATTAGCTTCTTACTTATTCAAAATATGAGAATTAGAAGAGATCATCTTGTCATAACTTTTCCAAAATATAAGAAACGCGTAATTCCAAATTTTAGGACAATTAGTTAACTGAAATTCAAAAAGAAACACATAACAAATCATCCGGCCCTCCCTAAACCTTCGTAGTACTTTATTGGGTAAATACAATTTAGGGATTTCCTATGGTAACTTGAAGTAAGGTTACTTGAATTTTTTTACCTGCTATAGCAGGTTTCACAGGTCGTATTACGTAAAACACAATAGGCATTACGTAATGGTTACGTAACATATGATAATCTTACGTAACAGTTGTAAAAGGTCATTACGGAAGCCTTACGTGATAGAATGTGTCTTTACGTAATGAGTATTAACCTCGCGTTACGTAAAATGCAAAGTCATTACGAAAGTCTTACGTAACGCTACTGAATTAACTGTTATGTAAGAAATAAATGTCGTTTCGTAACCTTTACGTAATGGAAGGTCTTTTTACGTAATGAGTATTAACCTTGCGTTACGTAAAGTGTTAAGTCATTACGGAAGTCTTACGTAACGCTTCCGATTTAACTGTTACGTAAGAAATAACTATCATTCCGTAACCTTTACGTAGTGAATGTGTATTTTACGTAACAGTTGTAAAATATCATTACGGAAGCCTTACGTAATAGAATGTCTCTTTACATAATGAGTATTAACGTCGTGTTACGTAAAGAGCTAAGTTATTACGGAAGCCTTACGTAATGCTTCTAATTCAATAAGAATTAAAAAAGGAAAGGTTAAAATATGGAAAGACAACTAAATGTGAAAAAAGGAAAGAAAAAATTAAAAAAGGTAACTTGGACATGTAGTGACCGGCAACTCATGTTGCCATTTATTTTTTTAGTTATTTTTTTTATTTTTTATTTCTTTAATCAATGGTTTAAAATAAGTATGGTCAATTTTAACGGTTTAGATCTATGCAAGTTACCTAACTTGAAATTATACCCAAGTTACTGTAGGAGATCCCTACAATTTAATATCTAAACCTTTCATTTTAAACAATATAATAGCCAAACCTTTTCGAAAACAATCTAACATCTAAATTATCAACTTTCCGTCCGTTTGACCGTTGGTTGACACTTCAAAAAAGCTTTGTTTAGGAGAAATTGTCACAATACAACTTTGTTTTCTTGTTTTGGCATTGCAAATGACTAAATATTTAAATATTCTATACCATCATGGTGGAGTCATGGACTTCTCGGGTTTGGAACCACGATATGTTGGTGGTTTTTCAGAGAAGATATCGATGGATATTGATGAAGCGTCGTACTTCGAACTTTTTTGAAGTGTCAACTAACGGTCAAACGAACGGAAAGTTGAAGATTTGAATATTAGATTGTTTTCGAAAAGGTTTGGCTATTATATTGTTTAAAATGAAAGGTTTGGATATTAAATTGTATTTACCATACTTTATTTGTTGTTGTTATTTTTAATTGTTCAAAGAAATCGGTGTCTCCTTTTCTTCAATGGAGCTCGTAAAAACATAGTAGAGAAACCAAATGCATAAAACCAAAAATATTCCCTTCTTTGATAAATAAACAAAGAAGAAAACGAACTTGAACGACGTTTGGACGCGGCAGAAGTAGCAGCTTCCCACTCCAACACTCCTTCCCCTTCCCTCCTCCATCTTTCTTCCTCCACAGACAGCAGAGAGAGAGAGAGGGGCAAGAAACCGACGCCACGACTTTCTTCCTCCTGTAATTTTCTGCTCTCCCTCTCATTCTCATTTTTGTTTCTCCCAACATTCCCATTCTCAAGTTCGTTCTTCCTTCTTTTTTCTTCTTTGTGTGTTTCCTTTTTGGGCCATTGAGAAGGAAATCCCTGCTTCACTGTTCCATAGCTCCTTTCTCTTCTCTTTTGCTCGCAGTTTCCCGCTTTGCCTCACTTTATTCCTAGTTTTTGGGGAGTTTTGTTCCTTGATTTCGACTTCATTCCTAGCGTAAAGTAATGGGTTCCTCATGATTTTGCCTGTGAACCCATTCAATCCCCGGATCAGTTGATCGTAAGGACGAAAACCCAGCTGCAGGTTTGCTTGTTCTTCTTTTGACTGATTCGAGACTTCGGAAATTGGTGGAAAATGAAAGATGGGTTGGGCTTTGATTCCACTGTTTTGTTTTCTTCTACCGTCTCTCCCATGATTTTTTCTGAGCCAGTAGACAGGTTTTTTTTTTTGTTGTTTACCGAGAGGAACAAAAATGGTAGTTTTTAAATGTTTGCATAACGGGATCCCTTTTAATGGCAACGGTTATCAGATTAACATGAAACTCGGGGGAAGGAAACATAACCTACCACTTGCATTGTTCAATTTCCCAAAGCCAGGGATTTCATTTTCGTCCTAGATTTGCAGAAAGGATCATTTATGTCTTTGGCAATTTTTTCCAGATCAGGGCAGCAGAGCAAGTGAGGAGGGGGGAAATGGCGTCGTAATTAAACCACCGGATCAATCTACTTCCCCTCCATTACCTTATCGGAAGCTGCCTGCACAACTTTGTGAACTGCGTTCACTCAACTTTACTCCTGGCATTGAAAATGACTCGGAGTTTGTAGGTACACTTACCATTTCCCTGTCTCTATCTTCCTCTTTTGATGGTTCTTTGTTAGAGAGAAGAGTTGGGAATGGGGACCATGAATGCCAGCAGCAAAAGATCCAAAAACTTCGCTTTTAAACTCTCCCAGTTGGGGGAAGAGTAGCTTCAACAGTTCTTTGGCTTGGTGTTGAAGCAATTCGTCTGGTTTTTGTGGGTTATGATTGGATTGACAATGGCAATTGATGAATGTTGAAGGAATGAGGTTTTTTGGGTTCCTTCACTTTTTTTTTCCACTTAATTTTCTTTGTGGGCTTGTGTTTCTATTTATAAATAATCAAATCTTAGGACTGAAGGTTACGCAAGAGCTTTCATTCTTAACTACCCTTCCACGATTGTCTTCCTTTTTCACTTGCTATTTGCCTTATTCTTCTTTTCTGGCTTCCTATTTGGTGCTCCCACTTTAATATATTTTGCTCTCTTCTTTGCACTTTCACGCTTGGCAGCTGTCATTAGCCTTCTCTCTTTCTTTTCTTGGTGTTCTAAAGTTGGGTGTAAATTTGTTAGGTGGTTACTTAGAGCGACCAAGTATAGCTTGTTTGATGGAAACTGTTGATCAATATTCTGCTTCTTTTATTCCGTCCTCTAATGTGAGTACTTAACCCTTGGGTTAGTTGGATAATGACGGTGATTAACTTCTTATTTACAGTCAGTTTGGGTGGTGAAGGAAGGGAGCAATGGATTGCAATGCCTTTAGCGACAATGCTGCAGCTTTACCTATAACAACTTAAAACCATCTTGCTTTGCGGGGAAAGAGTAGCTAAACTGTGAGTGCTTTTGACTCAAGAGACTTATGGTTTGCTATTTTTAGAACTTTTTTTTGATCGATGGGATTGATTTGATTCAGTGTGGCTAAAAAAATGGGGTCAATTGGAGCTGAAAGCTCACCGAAGATGGAGAAGATGCAAATGGCGGCGAGCACACGAGAAGAGAAGATTCTTGTCTTGGTGAGACTCAGACCTTTGAGTGACAAGGAGATCATGGGAGATGAAGTTTCAGATTGGGAATGTATTAATGATACTACTGTCTTGTACCGGAATACCCTCCGTGAAGGCTCCACGTTTCCCTCGGCCTACACTTTTGGTAAGTGGATTGCTCATGGCCAGATTGATAACATGCATGATTCTTTGGCATTGTTATTCACCTGGTCTTGTATTGTGAATCATCTAGATGCCACCACCATAAGTCTTCTGTCTTTATGCTCTGAACTAGATGCAGTTGAAGTCTGGCGTATTAAGGGGTTTTTTCACTTTCCCATTATTTTGAAATAGAATATGAAAGACCCATGGTAAGTTCTCCTTGTTGAATGTTTTGAATGATCGAGAGTGTAAATCTTTGATGTTGTAGCTTCCTGTATATTTTATCCATGCTCAACACATTGTTATTATGCTCCAATGTTCAAGTTGCAGAATCAGATTCATCTGAGGAACTCACATAACTGTAATGTGCTTGTTAGTGTTCTTGGTTTGGCTCCATCTCCATGTATCAGCGATGCCTTGTTGATTCTGGGCTGCAGATTTTTAGTTAAACAGACTGCATGATACACTGTGTTTCTGCCCAGCAGGGGATTTATTGAACATTTTATTTTATCAAAGCAACATTTGATCGCCAGAAAGCTTCTGATTTTGGTGAAACTTAATTTTTGTCCTGTCCTGCTCTTCTGGAGGATAGATAGAGTATTTCGGGGTGATTGTACAACGAGGCAAGTGTACGAGGATGGACCCAGAGAAGTGGCCCTTTCAGTTGTTAGTGGCATCAATGGTAAGCATCGTATTACCTTCTTAATTTGAGATTTTATCTTTCATCTTTGCAATCATAACTTGGCATCTATTATACCTTTTCTACAGCAAGCATATTTGCTTATGGTCAAACAAGCAGTGGAAAGACGTATACAATGAATGGTATCACTGAGTATACAGTATCTGACATATTCGACTATATAAACAAGGTATATTTGGAATTCTGACTCGATGTTGTAGGTCAAATTTTTAGTTAGTTTAGAGGACATTTTGTACTCATGAAGAACGCATGTGTTGCAGCATGAAGAAAGAGCCTTTGTTCTGAAGTTCTCAGCAATTGAGATATACAATGAGGCTATCAGAGATCTCCTAAGCACAGATAACACTTCACTTAGACTCCTAGATGATCCAGAGGTGAGTTGCGTTGCTTCATCACCTGTTGGCTCGGGCAAAAGGTGTTGTCAGTCAACAAAGTCTCTTACGTGTTCTGGGTTTTGTTTCTTTCTCTTTTTTTTTTTTATCAGAAAGGGACTGTGGTAGAGAAAGCCACTGAAGAGACTCTAAGGGACTGGAACCATCTAAAGGAGCTCCTATCAGTTTGTGAAAGTAAGCATTCGTACAACACCTTCCCTTCAGGGAACTGATTATTTGTGTCTTTTACTAAATCTTTCCTATTGCTATACAGCTCAAAGACAGATAGGGGAGACCTTTTTGAATGAGAAAAGCTCCAGATCACATCAAATCCTTAGATTGGTACTTCCATACCTCTTTGATTCTTATGGTTTAACATTGTCTTATGACTATATCCATTGTCTTCATTCTCTAACACGTGCTTATTGTCTGCTTATTTCAGACAATTGAAAGTTCTTCTCGTGAGTTCTTAGGCAAAGAAAACTCGACCACCCTTTCAGCCACTGTGGTATGAACTGCTTCTGGTTGATGGGTTGTTGGACTAAATTGAAAAAATATTATCCCAGCAGTTGGGGGAGTTTCTCTAATTTACTGGTTTTTGGTAGAATTTTGTCGACTTGGCAGGGAGTGAACGTGCATCTCAGGCATTGTCTTCTGGGGCAAGATTAAAGGAAGGATGCCACATTAACCGCAGTTTACTGACTTTGAGTACTGTTATTCGTAAGCTAAGGTAAATGAAATGTTACCGCTGGTCATTCTAGTTATGCTACACTTTTAGCCTCTTCAATTAGGAAGCAGTGCAAAGACCTCTTGCTAACAGTCCTCTTTTTCATCTGCTGATAACAGTAAGGGGAGAAATGGACACATCAACTACAGAGATTCAAAACTGACTAGGTTGCTTCAACCAGCTTTAGGTGGCAACGCTAGAACTGCCATCATCTGCACATTGAGCCCATCAAGGAGTCATGTGGAGCAAACTAGAAACACGCTACTATTTGCTTGTTGTGCTAAAGAAGTCACTACGAAAGCACAAGTTAATGTTGTCATGTCCGATAAGGCTTTGGTCAAGCATCTGCAGAAAGAGTTGGCTAGATTGGAGAGTGAACTGAGAAGTCCTTCCCCCGCTTCATCAACTAACGATCATACAACGTTACTGAGAAAGAAAGACCTTCAGATTCAAAAGGTTTTCCTTTCCTTTCTCTTCCACTCTATATGTAATTACATCCCTTCCCCAACAGCCAATAGCATTTGCTTAGTTTCACTCTGATTTTTTTTTTCAGATGGAGAAAGAAATCAGGGAGCTGACTAAGCAACGCGATCTTGCTGAATCTCGTATTCAGGATTTGCTCCAAATGATTGGTCAAGATCAAAATTCAAGAAGAACGGTATTGTGTTTGACCCCTCAAAACTGCGCCCATTTTAATGAAGGTTGAGGATCATGCTGGATAGATTGATTTAATTTTATTTGAAACTGTAATGTTACAGAGTGAGATTAGTCAGAATCCAGATCAACAAGAAAGGCGTAGATGGGAAGAAGATGAATGTTCAGTGTCAGAATCATACCCCCCTACTTATGGCGGCGGTGCAAGAAGAGTATACGGAACCCATTTTGATGGTGACAGAGGGAGCCATCTACAGGACAGTGGTCTTGATGATGATGATGATTCTGATGCCACTTCTTCACTCGTCCCATTTGGGAAGAAGATTGCCAGATCAAATTCTCGCCAGAGCCTTGCGATTATTGATGATGATGATGATGATGATGATGAGTACTGCAAAGAAGTACAGTGTATTGAAATGGAGGAGACGAGGCAAAACAATCCTGAACACCATCCGTCATCAATCTCACATGGTGGAAGTGAAGGACAAGCTGCAGTCAGGGTAGAGCAGGAAGTACCAACTCAAGGAATCGGAGATAGAGAAGCACAACACTCGCAGAGTAATGGATTTACAAACGAAGCAATGGAACAAAGGCTGCATCTTGTTAATGGGTCAAGTTCTATAAGCACGAAATTAGGGAGGAGCCGGAGCTCGAAAGAGAACCCCACAATTGGTGACAGCACGCCTCCCAATGGGTTGGAGAGGAAGTATGCTGGGCGACCAGAGAGCGTCAGGAGAAGGTTTCCATCCATGTTGTATGACACCGATGCTGCAAGACTGACAAGAAGTGATTCTCAGTCATCTATCGAGAGTGCTGCAACAGTTGAGACTCAGGGTGTAGCAACTGCAGATGAGGATATTCCAACAGTTGAAACTTTTGTTGCTGGACTGAAGGAAATGGCCAAGCAGGAGTATGAAAAACAGCTTGTCAACCAGGTGAGAAAATATTCCCTCTTCTTTTTTTTCTTCTGTAACAACAGCATGTTTGCAATGGAGTCCCTCATGACATTGGTTATTTTGGTTTCTTCATGTTAGACTCTAGGGGATGAAAAGAAGAAGACTAACGTCAAGGACATTGGATTGGATGCTATGCTCGATGAACTAACAACTCCTGATTCACCACTGAAGTTTGAGAGACAGCAGAGAACTATTATCGAACTCTGGCATACTTGCAATGTCTCATTGGTTCACAGGACGTACTTCTTCTTGCTCTTTAAAGGCGATCCATTGGATTCGATATATCTCGAGGTGGAGCTAAGGAGGCTCTCCTTCCTTAAGGAAACATTTTCTCATGCAAACCATACGGGAGGCCATACTCTCACACTGGCCTCAAGGTACTATTCAGCTTAGCAATCTCCAGCCTTCTTTCTTTCCATAAGCTTTTACGTTCTAACTGAATGTGCTTACTTTCTGCATGGGTGGACAGCATAAAGGCGCTTCATAGAGAGAGAGTGATGCTGAGCAAGCTGATGCAGAGGAGGTTGTCTGGAGACGAAAGGAACAGGCTATATCAGAAATGGGGTATTGGGTTGAACTCAAAGCGAAGAAAGCTTCAGTTGGTCAACCGACTGTGGGGCAACACGAAAGACGTAGACCACATCACAGAGAGTGCAGCCATTGTTGCAAAGCTGGTGAGCTTTGCAGAGCAAGGACAGGCACTCAAGGAGATGTTTGGGCTGAGTTTCACACCTCCAAGCACAACAAGAACGAACTCCCTGGGCTGGACTTACAGCAAGTCTTCTCTTTTGTAGTAGCGGATCATGACTAGAGTATTACAGGTCGAGTGTGATTTGGGTTTTCCCCCATTTTTTGATTTTTGTATGGAGTGATGGGTGATGTTTGAAACAAGAGTGAAGATTGAAGAGTGTAAATTCTAATGTGTAGTAGTTTGATTGACTATAGAGTAGATTTTCTGGTGGGGAATGAATGTATTGGCTTCTGATTTACAGTACAAGAATCCATATCTTTTGAGACTTGAGATTCTGCAGTCTGCGAAAGCTGGTTGTTTCATGGGGACTGTAACTACAGAATTTTTAGCTACTGAAGTGAAACCATTATCAAAAGCTGTTACTTCTTTCGCAAACTAAAAATGAATACAAGAGTAGTTCGGTTATCCATGTGACACGAACTATTGAATCTAGAGTACAAAGTACCAGGATCCTTTGAATACAAAAACCAGACGAAGAGTAATGCTGATTGAGAGACATTAAGCTTAGAAGACAACTGTGTCAAGCATGGTGCCGAGAGTCTGGATGATGTTGGACGACATCAGATTAGAAACGTGTTCTTCAAGGTGCTTTTTGGCATCTTGTCGTCCCACATTTGCAATAGCAAGCTTCTCAGGTGGAAGCTCGTCTTCTTCTTGCACTGCCTTGTTATACTTGACTGCTAAGTTCAACATCTCCTGCAATCCAAACCATGCCAAACAACAAGGAGATACAGAGTTCATCAGCATTAGCAAATGGGATCGCACTAGAAACACATGCATAACTCGAAATGATCTAATTACAATTCAACAAAGAACAAAGCAAACTGCCAGCGGTGGTTTATAGTTTATGCTAGTCCAATCCCAATTAGGGAATTACAAGAGTCGGAGTAGGGACTATTTGTACACAAACCAACGATTAACCAGTTATACACTCATTGAAATGAAGCAAAGTACCGTATGGAAGGTCACTTGAACAGCCACAATACTAAGTCTGACCGACAGTAAACCAAGCACTAGAGGGATTAACTTTTCCAGTTTGTTCAAATATCTTGTACTTAATTTTAAGGCTATCTAGATTAAATGAGCTTCAGTAAAAAACTGATAACCTTAATATCTAAATTCCTGTATGACAACACTTAGCATCCTTCTCTCAACAATGTAAGCACGAAAAGGGAACATTGACATAAGGCCCAATGTAAGAGGAAAAAATCTGTACCCACCTGAACAGTCTGCTCATTGGTTTTTGAATGACCATCAAACCGCCTGAGAGTCAATCCATCAGTCCATTTCTTCTTGTGCAAGTTGAGAAGCATTTTCTCCTCAAGTTCATTTTTCCGGTAGTTAATGGCAATTGAATAGTAATGCCTATTCAGTCCATGGATCAACGCCTGAAGTTTTGAAGTAATCATATGAGTTGTTAGTGGAGGACAGAAAGGAAAAAAGGCGTTGTTCAGTACAGAATAGTATAGACCAGCATTATTTTTCACCTGAATGGATGGTTTGTTGAGATTCCCAAGATTGGAAGTTGTTTGCCTGGGTTCTTGACCGAGCATCATCGTCTGAGGGTTGATGAGACGGAAGGCATCAATCACGACCTTCCCTCTCACACTTTGAATAGGATCCACCACAACAGCAACTGCCCGTTGATTTAAAGCTTCAAAACTCTGCCAGTAAAGATTAGACTCAATGATAATGCTTGATTTGCACATTCTTAACAAAGGCTCAACAATCTCAAAATGATCAATCACTAACATAATCAATCAAAAGTAGTTAAACTATGAAATACAATAATAAGAATACTAGAAAAAAAGACAAACATAATGAAACTAAACAAACCTGCTGTGTGTTAATATCAACACCAGAGAGCCAGCATCCAAATCCTGGATGAGAATGGTACCATCCAACAACCATCTCCGGCCTGGAATGAATAGGAAACAGTTAGGTTACAGCCGTCAAATAGTAGGCAGCTTTGAACTGAGTAGCCAGTTCAGCAAAACAACTAGAAACAACATTATGTCATTTCGTTCCTGCCTGTGAACAAGCTAACTAGCAAACTAAACTCTCCAATTCTAGTAAAGAGAACCACACAGAGATTCCTTGAGCTGATCCACAATCGTAGCAGTTTCATTACAATCAAGAGATCTTTTTTTTTTCTTCTGGAACAGCATATGTCAACCTCAAAGATATCTTTTTCATTGTTTAAGCAATCTCAGCAGTAAGTATCAAGCAAATTTATGTTTCAATACCATGCCCAATGTTATACTACAGCAACAACGCAATCCGTACAAACTCACCTCCCAGTCTGCTTGAGCATATCGAGCATGTTAGTCTGGAAAACATGGTCGACAGCTTCAACACTGACGCCAGTACCACTCTGCGGCATCGCAAAGACGTCCACGACACGAACAGTATAGTCGTCCACAAACTCTCCAAGCATCAGACCCATGACCTCCATGGGAACTCCAGCTCTTCCTGTGGAGAAAAAGTAAGAAGCAAAATTACGATCGATCTCGATTTTCAATTCAACAGGACCACAAAACGGCAGCACCCAGCCATGGCCATGGAACCAAAATCTGGAGAGCATTTGGTGGCAAGCATCCAAACAAGCCACAACCCCAACAGATCCCAAAACCCTAGACCCGGCAACTGAGCAGCGTAGAGGGAAGAATGGTACCGTGTTTAAGCATCTTCAGAAGGGCGAGCGATGAAATATAGACCTGCTCCGACGAGTCAACGGCGGGGCCATCGGTCGGGGGATGCCCGAACCCGCCGCCGGCGCCGCCAAGCATCCGCTGGAGTCTCTCGATTCCGGCCATCTTCAAGTTTCCGATGCAGTGAAGCAAAAGCAAGAATCCGGAGAGAAATAGAGCAAGAAAGAGAAAATACAGTGAGTAAGCGGACGTTATTATCAAGGGCTATCTGGCCCAAGCTAGCGAAAAAACAAGACACTGAGTTTTCGGGTCCTTGAGCCCATGAAAAGCATTCTGGCCCAAGTTTGTTGGCCTTTCATATGATTCCTCTGTTTGGTGTCATCTCCAGCTCTCAGAGGAAGGAGCAGACGCTCGATCAATTGACGGAGAGAGAGACGAAGATATGAGTGTGGCGTCAACGGCGGCGTACGCTGCTCGGCGGGCAGCGCAGCGGGAGCGGGTTCGGATCCTCTACCGGAAGGCTCTGAAGGACACTCTGAACTGGGCAGTCCACCGTCACCTCTTCTACGAAGATGTACGTTCATCTCTTTATACGATCAGTTCCTTCGCGATTGGATCTCATTGGCATTACATTTGCGCCTTTTCGTGGTATCGTGAATCGTTTGCTAACTCCGCTAACTTATTGGTCACAGGCTGATAATCTTCGGGCGAGGTTTGAGGTGAATAGAGGAGTGGTACGCCTTCTAATTCCCCATCATATAGTTTTTTTTTTGTTCTTTCAGTCCTTAGGGTTCTTGCAATCTCCATTTGCCAGTGAACGTAATGGCCGTGCTCATGAAATGATAAGCTGTATGCAGATTCCTCGTTTCTGAGAATTTTTCTTAATTCTATCCTTTTGTACTTGGAAAGTGTTTTATCAGCACGACTCGCGAATTTTAGGTGTTCTGGTTTGATGCATTTTCCTGAAAATCAGAACATAGAGCTACATTTGTATCATGTGGGTGCTTCGTATAATCGTATCTATAGCAATTGTAATGGAAAAATTCAAACTTGACATGAACGAGCCATCTCTGCTTTCTGGGCTTACATTTTCGTCTTTGATCTTCCATGTATGATGATATGGTTGATGATATGTCGAAGTCTGGAGAGAAAGAGTTAATGTTTCTGTGTTACTTTTACTCTAGGGTGGATCAAAGTTGATATGAAGCTTCAATTTCGAAGCCTGTTCTTATCCATCTGCTTTGCTGAAGTTAAGGTTTTCCCCACTAGTAAAGAACAAATGCTGTGCTGCTTTTTTATGCGAAGCTGTAATTATCGGTTTCTGATATGTAGGGCTTGGAAATGTTGATATACTGGTTAGTCATGTTACGATTTCATGTTGATGCCTTTGTTTCTTCTTGCAAACGTATTTTGGTGTTCTATATGAGAATTGTGTTTGGTAGTCTTTATCTCTCGGTGGATGGCCTTGTGTTGTAATCCCCCCCCCCCCCCCCCCCCCCAACTTTGTGGCTTTCTTTTGATGCTTTGATTGTTTTGTTGTTGTGTTCTATTTTATTCATTTGCAGGAAGATCCTGACACAATTGATAGGCTCATTGCTGATGGTGAGGCACAATACAATAAGTGGCGGCATCCTGATCCTTACATAGGTAAATAATCATACCGAGACCTGATTGACTCAGGTTCTTGTCATGATTGAGCTCTCAATAGCATTTCAGCCATACATGTTGTCCTACTCCTTAGAGATGCATTCCTTGGATTTTTGGTTTTAGTATTCAAGTTTGCTGTTGCTCAGAATATTCAGTTCTAAAGCTACCCATTCAATCCTTAAGTTTACTTTTGCTGCTTGTTTACAGTTCCATGGGCTCCTGGTGGTTCTAAGTTCACTCGAAACCCAACTCCGCCTGAAGGGGTAAGTCAACCTTTTTTTCTGATGTTCTATAATGTCATTAAACGTCTCTTCCCTGATGGCAAAATATTGCCAGAAGTTGAGGTAATGATTTCTTGCACTAATTGAATTTTGGTAGTCTGCAATTGTCTATTGAGTTCGTGATGAAGGGAAAAAATGGACGTAGACTCAAATACATAGACTTCAGATTGGGTAAACAATTTCCATAATAAGAATTTGTTAGATTAAATTTGATCTTTTCATCGAATGAGAAATTCATTTTTATGCATTGTACCGGAGAGCTTAGTTCATGAATGGGATTTGCAGTTCATGGATTGTTTGTAGCTTGAATTTGCTGATGTCAACTCTATGTGAAAGATGCAACGTGAACTCTAGGACCACAATTTGGGTAGCCTATCTTAATACCTCGTTGGTGATTGGTTAGAGGGTCTTAAGAGACTTAAATTCTCTTTTTGCTTGTTTTTTTTTATCTAAATTGTATCCTGATTCAGTACATGCTTGTTAGTGGCTGGCTCTGCTGTTTTAGATATTCTCTCTTACAACTTGATTGGTGAATAGGATAGGGTGGAAGGAAAGATGCGTCAAGTCTGTCATTATCAAATGTGCAGTATGCTTTAACTGTAATGCATGGCTTAGGCTGCAAGGTTGTAGCGTCGATTGCCTTGTAACCAGCCTGATCCTTTCAGCATACGATATTTTGGTTTCTTCTGCAGATTGAGATCGTCTACAATTATGGCCGAGAAGATAATGACTGAAACCTGCCTCTTTTCCAGTGCAATAATAAAGGTTAGCTCCACTGACATTTTCTAAGTGCAGCTCCTTTTAACTTTCTTGATTGGGGTAGTATTCAAGTCACTTCTGCTGCGTGGTCGGATTATAACAACTGATGAAGTAATGCTCATTCCCCATGAAGTAATTCTTGTTATAAACTGTTGCTGTTATTCCTTTGGGTTTATGCTGTAATAACCTCCCTTTATGTTATAAGTAGAGGCTGTTCGCAATCGCACCTGTCTTACAGCTTTGTCATCGAATATGCAGATAGGGTTGATCCATGAACGCTGGGGAAGATTAAGACTCGGTCCCCAGTTTGGTTGATTCATATGAGGGTCACGCAGCTGTCTTTGTGCTTTTTGTTTCCTGATAAAATGTGGTTTGGGGAACATGGGCAGAATGTTTGAATGAAATGATCAAGCCTTAAATGCCGAAGGACTTGTGACACATTTAATTTTATTCCTATTCCAGTCACCATGCCCTGTAGACAATACCGCGGTCTGGGTGTTTGTTTGATATGAATGTGGGAATGGCCATTCAAACCCTTGTTCAATCTTTATGCTGCAGCCACCATGATTTCTTCCTCGAAGGTGGCAGCATCGGTCTGCCACCAACTTAGTGAATTGTACTCTGTGGCTTAGGCGTCGAATATGATATCAGCTGGGGAGTCGCCATCGAACGGCTGGTTGCTCGTGCTCCTAATCCGGTAGGTCAACCGGCTAGTTTCTGAAACCAAGTGTTGACTACGACTACAGAGAATGGCAACTTGGTGTATAACAAACGCTATGGATCCATCGACCGTTGTAACAAATTTATAATCACAAAGTTTATTGACAACTTGGTGTATAACAAACGGTTTGGAACCATTGACCACTCGGTTGAGTGTAAGAAGTCACAATGACAAATGGCAACTTGGTGTATAACAAATGATATGGAATCATTAACCACTCTGTTGAGTGTGAAATGTTATGTCCCAATCACAGTGGACAATGACATCATGGTGTGTAACAAATGTCTTGGAACCGTTGACCACAAGTTGAGTGTAAAATGTCAGTCACAATGGTTAATGGCAACTTGGTGTGTAATAAACGTTTTGGAATCATTGATCACTTGATTGAGCGTGTAAGCTAATAATCGCAATGGCTAATGACAACTTGGCGTCTAACAAGTATTTTGGAACCATTGACCTCGGATAAGTGTAACAATCACTATGGTCAATGCCAACTTGAGGCATGTCAAACGCTTTGGCAAATGGTTGGGGTACGACAAACCCTATGGAATCCTTTACCACTTAGTTGAGTGTAATAACAATCACAACGTCCAATGAAAAGTTGGGGTATAACAATCGTTTCAGAAACACGTATCACTCAGTTGAGTGTCAGAACTAACAATGACCAATTACCACTTGGTGTATAACAAACATTTTTGGAACCATTGACCGCTTTGTTAATAATGTAAGAAGTCACTATTACAATGGCTAATGCCAACTTGGTGTATAACAATCCGTTTTGGAACCATTGACCTCTTGGTTGAGAGTAAAGGCTCACAATCACAATGCTCCAATGGCAACAATGAAACAAAAATAAAAAAATGACTAGCCATAATCCAAATGCTCATACTTTCTAACAATGAATTCACTAAGTTGTCCCTTTGCTACTATATAGGTATAGCGCTGGTAGGTAGGTACTGTTGTGTTCATTGCCTTGTTTTGGCAGCGATGAATAATAGCATGCCAAAGCAGCTGTTTTGGAACTCTCACGAGATCTGCCAGATAGACGGCTTCTGGTATTTCGTCGAAGGTACAGAACGCATTGCCGCATTCAGGTCCGGATTCGAGCCAAGAAACGACGACATTCTCTTGACATCCTTCACCAAAACCGGAACCACCTGGCTCATGGCTCTTTGTTACAACATCCTTAACCTCGACGACGACGACGAAGAAGACCGTCTGGCAAAGAAGAATCCGCACGAAGTGGTCCCCTCGCTGGAGATCAATTTCCTCGAGGACGGAGTCCAACGTATGTTGCTCAGCTGCTCGCCTCCCCGATTGCTCCACACTCACGTGCCTTACAGTTACTTGCCGGAGGCGGTGAGGGAGTCCGGATGCAGGTTCGTGTACGTGGCTCGTAACCCGAAGGACACAGTGGTGTCGATGTGGCATTTCTACAACAAGCTGCTCACGCGCGGCGGCCCCAAACCGTTCCCGTTGGAGGGAGCGGTGGAGAGCTTCTGCAAAGGGGCTGTGCCCTTCGGGCCTTTTTACGAACACGTGGTGGGCTATTGGAAAGAGAGCAAGAGACGACCTGAGGAGGTGTTGTTTCTCAAGTACGAGGAGCTGTGCAGGGAGCCCAAAGAGCAGGTGAGGAAGTTGGCTTCGTTTATGGGGAAGCCGTTTTCCTCGTCGATGGCGAGTGGAGATGATGATGAGGTGGTGGTGGAGAAGGTGTTGTGGCGTAGCAGCTTGGGTAGGCTCAAGGAGTTGGAGGTTAACAAGAATGGCACATGGGAGACAGCTCGAGCACCGAATGCCCACTTCTTCAGGAAAGGGATGGTGGGGGATTGGAAGAACTATTTGACTTCTCAAATGGCTGAGCGCATCGACCAACTCACATGTTTGAAGTTACAGGGGACCGGACTTTCTCTTGACGATTAATTGATGCTATAGTCATACCACCAACCTTTTTTTCTTGTTCTGCTTCAATTTGGTGTTGCATTTTGTGTTTTCCATTTTCGCGGTTCAGATCTCTTAATAAAAGTAAAGAAACTAGCTTCGTTTTCTTATTGGACAACACTGGATACTTTCATGCATAATTATGTGATTTTAATTTTATAAAAAAAAGATGGAGGAAAGAAAAACGGGGAAAGGCTAGTATGCTAACACTTTTTTTGTTAGCATGATACTAATACTAGTTCAAACCAATAAAAACATTTCATTTGTATGACTTTTTCATTTAAATGAGTTGACCACAATTAATGAGGGGGAAGTGAAAGGAGAGACACACTTGGTATTATGAAAAATTGGGAAAGGAAGGAAGGAAGGGAGGGGGACCATGAAGCATGCCACAACCTCATCAAAGCATGCTACAATCTCAAAGCATGTCCAACCACAAATTATGCCACAAGTTTTTCAAAGCATGCAACAAGTTTCTTAGTAGTGGATCTTTTTGTAAATTTTAAAAAGTTTAGGTACCAAAATATATGAAAAAATTTAGGTACTAAATATAATTTTCCATCGATATTTCTAGTACTCGAATGTAAAAAAAGTAATTTTCGGTACTAAATATTAATACATATTAAGTTCAGATACCAAAATTGTAATTTGTAAATGAAACATAGAAAAGTTACGTAAATGGAAGGAGGTGGATAAGGGAAGGGGAAGGAGAATGGATAAATACTATTAGGTTTGTTAGTCGGTGCGGTTTTGGTTTAACTGAACCACACCAACGGTTAATCGCGATTGATAGCGTCGTATTTGCACATGTTTGCACTCTGGTTTCCTAATCGTTTTAGCTCGAATTTATGGTTCATTGACCTATTTTATGATAGCGTGTGTTATTTTGTCACATTTCAGTTCCTAGCAATTAAAGGGAGGCAATGACGCAAGTTTCGGGTCGTTTGGAGATCATTTGGTGATTCTGGGAGCAAAATACAGTTGTCCCTTGTAGAATACAACCGAGCTTCTGGTGATGTCTGCCAGTATTTTTAATGCCGAACCTGGAGAGTGCTCAAGTGCAAAATACGGCCATCCTGCCCCAAATTACAGTCGTATTTGCCATTGGTCTAGCCCGTATTTTTATCGCCGAGCCAAGCCCTTGAAGATTTATGAGGAAGTGAATAATACGGGCAGCACAGGAATAAATACGGTCGTAATCCCTTGATTACTGGCAGTATTTTTACTAAATACGGCTGTGTACTTCCCCTCATAAGCTTAAGTGAAACGTGCATTTTGGGCAAAATGCGGGCAGAAGTGAAATACGGCTGTATTCTTGTCCGCATTTCGCCTAGAATCGGGTTGAAAGAGGCAGATTCGAGCTAAACGAATAAGATTCGACTTTTTGGAGTAAAAACAGAGTTCTAGGGAGAAAGTGCGAAGAACAAATCCTAGGAGCTATTTTTGAGTGGATTTCTCATAATTGAAGCCCAGATTGCATCCCCAGGAGTGAAGATTGACATCACAGAGCAGCTTATTCCCATATTTATGAGTATGACTGCTTTGATTTCTGTTTTCCTCTCTCTCTCTCTCTCTATGGAGTAGACCTTTCTCTCACTTGGGTATAAAGAACCCTAGTTCCATGTGTTAGGACAACCTATAATGATGGCCGAGACATGCAGTAGAGTTGTGTAGGGGTTCAGTTTTTCAACTATTTGCTTACCAACTGTGACTTGGATTGATCACTTACTTTCTACAGTCGTTTATGCATCGAGTTCAGGGAATCATAATGAAAGATAGAACATATAGGTAGCCATGTGAGATTTGAGCCTGCTCGTTTCTTTCTTGTGCGATAGATCCCTCTTTCATGATGTGTAGCATTTAGGTTGTCACTAATTAGGATGATGGAGGCATATGATTAGCCCACGATCAAATTGACTGTCCTGGTGCCATACCCCTAGTCAGCCCCTTTGAGCCGTGTAACTTTCCTTATTTCGGTCTACAATGAAAAATCACCCTTTTTGCACCTCTTATAGGTTCCACATAGTGGTTTTTGCATGTTCTCTGCTGTTTCTGCTAGAAATAATATGAGGGTTGGAGGTAGTTCTTAAAAGTTGGGCAAGTGTTTGAAAAAATGTGCAAAGGTGGTGGTTCTCTCAAGAAATGAAAAAGAAAAAAAAAAGAAAAAAAATAAATGATTGTAACTATGTTGGTTTTGGAACTGTGGAACATTGTGTTATGAATTCTTCCACCACCTAAAAGGCTTTTTTCCCATGTCCAAGACCCTAGCAAGTCATATGAACCCGTGTCTAAGACCTACCGCCTAGTTAGTGGCGACATTCGATATGTGAACTCTAGCATTTAGACGCTGCCGTCATGATGAAGAGACGTTAGGGATTGAGAGAATAATCATGCGCATTTTTCGCATCAAATTGTCCTGACCCCACTAATCGAGAGTGAGCGATTCGTTTCCTTATATTCTTTACATTCTTTACCCCGGTTAGGACCTATATTGCTCGATCTTGATTCTGATGTCTTGAGTTTTATGCATGAGGTGACTGTTTTGAATAAGTGGTTGAGGCAAGTCTATGTTGGTTGGTGAACAGAAGGGAGACTCTTCCTTTACCCGATTTTGCTGCACTCGAATGTCATCTGTGGTGGTTGTCTTGGCTGTCGTTGAGGTTGTTCATGAGTTGATGTCTAAACGCCAGTATGATTCACGCGTTTTGTGCCTATATGATATGTCCCCAAAGTCTGTATGGTTAAAATGTTTTGAGCTTATCTTGTGTCTGACTTGGTTTGTTTGGGGACAAGCAAACGGTTAAGTGTAAGAGAATTTGATAGCACCGCATTTGGTGTAGACTTTTGTATAAAAATTGATATTACTATATCCGGTTCTGTCCATAACTTTTCTTATTGAGATTTGCAATACCATAATAATTTTGTAGCTAAATTTTTTAATTTGTTAGGACTTGGTTGGCATATTTACAAAACCAATCATTTGGCTAAATGAAGATTACCATTGTAGACATTTTTATGTGTTATTTGTTACAAAGTTTGTAAATGAGTTATTTTTTACAGAATAAAGATATTTGATAAATGTAGACGTTTTCATGTGTTGTGTCTTAAAAGGTGATGAGTCATTTTTCAGAGAATAATTTGTATAATGTTATTATTTTGCTCATACATGTAATATGCTTCACTTTTGTCTATCCAATAAAGGTAATCATGAAAACAAATTCATTTTGCAGCCAACATATAACATATTTGAGCATTAGTCATATAAAATACCTATTTTAAATTTGAATGATAATTTATGTTAACTTTCTTTACAAATTGTAATGGTTCCAAAGTACATCTTCTTACAATCAAATATAACCTATATTTGAAATCATTCTCATAAATAGTAACTATTTTACGAGAAAATAGTTGAAAATAATTATTGAGAAATGATTGGATAGGATTGTTCGAAAATAATTAAAAGTTATTGCGTTATGACGCAAAATAAAGAAGAGATAGTATTGAATTTACGGGGAAAGGAGGGTTAAGATTGAAAGTAGTGACGAAAAAATAATATTGAAACCAAGTAACCCACTTTATTTTTTTTTCCGTTGAATAACCCACTTTATTTTTCTATTGACAAAATTAATCATTTCACACCAAATGAATGAATCATAGAAATATCGCAAACAAACAACCTATCAATACAACAACTCACGGTAAATTGCAGGGTTGGCTACTAGAATTGCTAAAATGTGCACGTTTGGTCACTAAAATTATTTTATTTCATTCGTGGTCATTGATATCAGCTAAAGGTTCACGTTTGGTCACTCTCCATTTGTCTCCGTTGATTGAGTCTGTTATTTGCTGACGTGACTAGCAGAATCACCTAATCAGCCTAATTTAACCTAAAAAATTTTTAGCCCGACCTGCCATGTCATTAAAACCGACCACATTTTATAACCACAATCTTCTCCTCAACTCTAAGAACCAGAGCAATCTAGTCGGTGGAACTTAATTTGAATTCAACTAATCGAGCTCAATTTAGTTAAACAGATGACCATCGAAGCAAACATTGAGATTCGAATGGTCAAACAGAGGGCGATTGAATCTTGGGAAACATAGAAAACGAGATAATGTGGTCAATTTAATGATGTGGTGGGTCGGGTTCAATTTTTTTTAGTTAAATTAGGCTGATTAGGCGATTCTGTTAGTTAAATTATTGGAGAAATTGAGGTTTTTACTAATTTACAATTTTATTATATCTAAAATATGATGCAATAAAAGGAAAATTCTAAGTAATCTGACTAAGATTACATTTAATTTAGACAAGAACGGGTCGAGAATGGAGCGGGTCAGGGCAGGTCGGGTCAATGAGACTACCCAAAACATGTCAAACAGATCGGGTAAAACGGCTCAGGTCGAAATTGCCATCGAGCGAGAGATATAGGGAGAAGAAGCGTTACCTCCAACCGTTCACAATCAACTAAACAATGGTTTGGGGAAAAGATAAAATCTCGGAGAGGCAGGAGATGGGAGAACCTCCTTCGCCCAAGAAACAAAAGATGGAAGATCGACCTGATCATCATGACGAGCAGCTGGAGGTTGGTGCGGCAGATCCGCTGCCATCGTCATCTTTTTCTTCTAGTGTGAGTCAGGCGCCGGTGGTATCTCCGGAGAGGAACCTGCTGGATTCAGGAGCACCTGATCAAGAGGTGCCTGTGGGAGATGAGTCGTTCGAGGAACCGTCTAGTCCTATGTCCTGGTTTGGACTAGATCCTGAGTGCCCATGGCACGAGGAAGTTATGAAGTCGATGAATACTGGTTTTGGGTGAGTGTATTAATTTGCGCTGTTTGTTGTTCAATTTTTGGTGATGCTGGAATTAATTCATGTATCTGTATGTGTTACGTTGGAATAGTTAGTTAGGCGTCTTGTTGTTGTTGGGTAATTAGTTTCCTTGAGCCTGTTATCATGTGCATGTATGCTTCATTGGATATGACTT